CATATATGAGGAGTATCTGGAGTACAAATTGGGGTATCTGTGGATCACAGACATGAAGTAGCTGTGTTTTCTTGGTGTACAAATAAGATACACCATTTTGATGTACTCATAGCATGACACCTATGAGGGGTATATGTTGTACAAATTGGGGTATCTGTAGATCACTGGCACACGATGTCTGTGTTTACCTGGTTTACAAATGAGATATATCATTTTGATGTACTCCTAGCATGGCACATATGAGGGGTATATGATGTACAAATGGAGTATCTATATTTGTCTGGCGTACAAATGAGATTACCCCTAATTTTATTTCCCTCATATTCCTCCCTTGTTTTACATTTATACTTTCTTTTTTCGATTCTCTCCTCTCACTCTTTTCCTCGTCGTCGTTTCACCCTGCTGCACCACTATTCTCTCTACCCTGGCCCCCTCTTTTTCATTGACCTTTATAAGTAATTAAGCCGGTGGGCATTGCGCAGTTGACAATGCAAGGAATGCCAATGAGATAAGATCCGAGTTTGATCCCTGACAACTGCGCTGGGAGGCAATTATGCTAAGCATAGGGCCTCTGTAAGTAACAGGTGCATGCCTCACTTTTTGCCATCAATTTACGATCAAAATCCAATATACCTCCTTCTCAGTGACCGTCTGAGTCTGAGAGGGGGCTTGAGGACGGGACTCATCCTCTTCTCTCTTTTTTTAAAAGTAATTAAGTTGCATATAACTTCCGTACTACAACTTGATTTTGGGAACACTTGCATTGAACAGAAATGTTTACGGTCCAACTCGTTTAATCTTTCCTATGAAATTGAGGCATTGAGCACATGATCTCTCTCAAAAAAATAAAAAGAGCACATGAAATTGGAACCCTATGTTGAAGGGTTGTAGGCAAGATCAAATAAAAGAGTGTTAATGCATGCTTAGATGTCAAGCTTGACTGAGCACGAATTTAAAAAGAATAAATTTTACAGGCTTAGATTTAATAAGAACGTAAAAGAAAGAAATAATATGAATTACACATTTCTTTCAGCCAAAGACATTGTAGTCTATCAGAATCACAACGACTCTTCACGGGTCACAAGTTTGAATTCAATTGGGGGTTGTAACTCTATATGCTTTAAAATATGGTTGAAAATGTATGAACAAAAAAACTCGATAAGTTTTTTTAAATGCACGAAAATTCACCAAACTTTTTTTTCCAATATATGTCGGCCAAAAGATTGGTAGTTGTGTTGGAAAGAAACAGAAACAAAACACGGAGAATTTGGAATAAATAAACAGAATCTGCTACAGCTTGTTTTTAACTTGTATTTATGTGTTCTATCGAACTTGTTCTCATAACTCATCACAAGATTGTTTACTATAATTAGCAACCCAGAAGAACCTATAACCCTATTTGCATGTTGTAGAGATTACTAATATGTAATTGAGTAACAAGAATAGTTCAATAACATCCAAAGCTGCCTAAATTTGCCTCGTGTGAAGGCATTGCTGGTTGGATACATTTTTGCAAATAACACTTCAATAAGCACAAGCAACCAGAGGGAGATGAAAATGAATTACCCTTCGGGTACCCCAAGTTTGACCCCATTTTTTACACCAATGCCTTTACAAATGTTGTTTTGTGTCTATGATGTCTGTAACAGCTTTGGTGTCAAAAATGGGGTCAAACTTGAGGTACCCCAAACACGACTCAAAGAAAATATGGATCAGCCGCTTATTTATCTACAAGACATTATAGAGATGGATCTCGAAGGGATGTACTAGAGTCAACCTAGATCGAAAAACGATTACAGGAGTGAATGCACAAAACAATTGCCATCTACGTAGATACCAAATTCATAACTCAGCTGAAGCTCAAACAGCCATTACAATGTGGATGCATGGAGTGGCAAATCAAAACATATCAAAGCTCAATCGGTGGTTTAAGTTGCCCTAGATAGCCTCATTAGTGATCGGTTTAATAAAAATTAAAACTTGATGTATATCGAAATTGCCTCTTACTAGTCTTTCTTCTTCCATCTTATACATCTAACAAAACAGCAGGATTGGTATATTCATAAACAGTTCAATTGCTGCAACAGTTTTTGAAGCTCTTATCACTATAAAAGTGAAGAAAAAGAAAAGCTCCACCCCAACATTCATAAGAGTAAATTCAACCAAGATTGCATCCTTCCCTAATTTCTTGTGGGAGAAAAGGGTGTAAATCCCAATTTTTTTAAAAAAAAAAATACAACAGTACAGGAATCTGGATTGAAGTCTACCTTGAAAATCATTGAAGAACAAGTAAACAATGTTCCAAAGGGAAAATATTTTTCATGAGTGAAAATAAATCGAAATCTTATAATTATTCAAAAGGATCCAGATAAGAACAGGAATCAATTATAGATCTCTAACAGAATCAGGAAAGTCGGAGTCGGGATTCATCACCTCGGAGGTGCAGATCCGGGAGGAGGGGCGCCGAGCAAGCTAGCATGCTGCATCTCGAGGTCTTTGAGTTGGGCGTCGCGGTCCATCTCGATGATGAGAGGTACTATGAGGATAAGGAATGTGGTTCCGGCGATCCAGGCTGCCTTTCCCGTGCTTTTGATGAGCTTTTTGGCGACCAAAGCTGCGTCCGAAGCGGCTTGCTTGCCTCTATACACAATCGGAGATTGATTGAAAGACGACGAAACCCTAGACAGAAATCCGCCGCTGTTTTCGCTGCCTGGCCGCACCGGAAGCGAAACTCCGCCTCTCCCAGACGACATCGTGAAAGTAAAGGAACTTCTTGTCCGCAGTTCCACTCTACGGCGGTATTTTAGGAGAGCTTTTTACTTAAAACTAATGTTAACCCGTATATTCTAAATTTTTGACATTCTATCAATATAATTTTATTTATTTTAGTTTTCGAATAGTGACATTCTAAGATATATCTTTCTTCAAATATTATATATATATATATATATATATATATATATATAATACGGAGTATATTTTACAATGATGAAATATATTTTTTATAAAATTGTTAAAAATGACATTTTTATAAAAAGTATAATTAAATAATATTTTTTTAGTACTAAATTAAAATATTATATTTATTTAATGTAATAAAATAAAATGTGTTAAAAGATCTTTTTAAAAAATTAAATGGACCAATGAAATTCATCCATCTCAATGTACATGTGGCATGCCACATGTCAACACTTCAAAAGATAAACCCAACTTTACATATATATATATATATATATATATATATATATATATATATATATATATATATATATATATATATATATAGGATAAATGTCTGTTTTTGTGAGGTTTACAAATGAGTATTTCATTTTGACGTATCCATAGCATGGCTCCTTTTCATAGGCTTTGTTCTCACATTTCATGGGTTCTGTTCTCGTTGAAATAAATTCTGATTTCTGGTATGATCTTATCTAAAAGTAGTTATATTTAAAGCTATTTCTGATCATATCTGATTCCGACAAAAATAATTAATAAATAAAGAATTAGGTTGATTGGAATAAATTTTGATCCTATTTAGTCTGATCTGATCTGAATAGTTGTGTTCTTATCTCATTGTAATTAAAGTTAAGTGATTATATAGGAATATTATTATTTTAAATTGTTTTTATTATTATTTTTATAAGCAGTAATATCATTCTAGTTGTTGTTTAGTGTTTGAATTATTAGTCTTGATGTTATTGTTTACAAAATGGTTCTTTTGACCTTAGAAACTCACGTCATATTATGACCCAGGGTCTCTATGGTGCTCCGTTCGTAAAATTGATCGTTCCTACACCTCTAATCTCCTAAACCCTACCCCCTACCTGCCCACCCTCCTTATTTCACCGATTGGCTACAGTAATATGACCTGGTGCCCCTATGCTGCTCCGTTTGTAAAACCGATGGTTCTTATCTCCCATAAACCCTACCCCTTACCTCTATCTGTCCACCCCAACACAGCACCCCCCGACCCCTTCCCAATTTCGTCAATCGGCGAAATGGGAAGGGGAGTGTTGTGGTGAGGTGGGTAGGTGGGGGCAGGGGATAGGGTTTAGTGGGAGTTAGGTGAGTAGAAACCATTAATTTTACGAATGGAGCACCGTAGGGGTCTCAGGTCATAATATTACCCGGGGTTCTAAGGGCAAAAGATCCTTGCCCCATTATTTATTATTATCATTAATATTATGATTATTATTTTTATTACTATAATTATTATTACTATTGTTATACTTCTAGTAGTACTATTATTATTACTATTATTATTATTATTATTATCATTATTATTATTTGATGCGTGGTTGTAAAACTTTAGTTATATGATCAATGTTATCATTGTTAACTCATCATTCTTTTACAGGAATTTTAATTCATCTAAACATACGGATTGATGGTGTAAAACCAGCGTGAGAACTAAGTCACAAAAAGCGGAAGGGCTGTAGGTGGAAACACCTGCAACCCGGTTTGTTATTAATGATAATAAGACCCTTTACAAAGCTACAAGCCGTGCCGATTAATTAAAGCATGCCTCACAAATGAGGCTTTTAGGGATATTTATAATAAAGAACAAGCACGTCAAGCACGTCCCGACGTTACTATTCTTCCGGCCGGTCAGTCTTCAAGTCATCCACCCGGGCCGTCTTCAAATCATCCACCCGGGCAGTCTTCAAGCCATCCACCCTAGGCAGTCTTCAAGTCATCCACCCCGGGCAGTCTTCAAGTCATCCACCCGGGCAGTCTTCAAGCCATCCACCCGGGCAGTCTTCAAGTCATCCACCCGGGCAGTCTTCCAGGGTTGGTGACGTCAGGTTCAAGCCAGAATTCGGTACCCCCGGGCGTATGTGAACTTGCCGGGTGGTACCAGTGGATTATATCCATCAAGGAGTCCTCCGATTCTCGGCTTTGTGGGCACCATCAAGGGTGGGAATCAAATGTGTGAATAATTTTGAATTTTGAATCCTCTGGTATGGTTGGCATGAAGGTTTTTACAGAAATCTGGTACGCCGCCGCCTAGTTGTCGCGTCGTTTTCTCTTCCCGGGTCGGGCAGGAGTGGGCCACCCGGCTGGTCAGGTCCTAGACAGATGAGAAGCTTCGTATGGAGGCCATGATGGTCGCCGCCTGGAAGGATGCTAAGGCAGCCCGGTTGGCGCCCGAGAAAATGAAGGAGAAGCTGGTCGAACAGGCCAAAGCCTATTGGGGTCTCTTTGCCAAGCATGAGGGCTTGCTCAAGTGTGTTAAGGAGTCGGATGAGCGGGCTAAGCGGAAGATCGCCGAGTTGGCGAAGAAGGCCGGGCAGACAGGCCAGCTGGAGGAGGAGAATGCCCAGCTAAGGGCTGAGCTGGAGAGGGAGTACTCCGACCGGGCTGTTCACGCCGTTGCTTGGGTTGGGCAGGACCCGGAGGCTACCCAGGCACTTCCTGACTAGGAGGTCGGCATCCGGTTCTTCCAAGTGTCCCAGCAACTGATTGATGACATTGGGATATTTGGGTTTGGGACCGGTCAGTACCAAAAGCACTGTGGGCTGTACGGGATCTTGAGCAACCGGCTACAGGATTTTGACCCGGTCGTTCAAACTCTTAATCTCTTTGGTCACGACCGAGCTGTATCTACCCTGTGTAACGCATCTCACCATTCTTTCCACCCAAGTAGGAAATAAGCCATCCGGGTGGGTTTTGACAGAGCATGCCCGGGCTATGCTTCAAAGTTGATCATGTGAGTCATTTCTTCTTTCACCCGGGTGAACAAGAGCTCTAGTCCTCCGAGTGAGCAAGGCAATCAATTCTTTCCCTTCATGGCCTCGGCCATGCAAACGGGGGAACATATTCTTGAAAAAGTCCTCCGAGCCAAGTTAAGCGAATCCATCGTGACCTCGTCACTCACTCGAGTCTAAATCTTGATCGGGTGGGCAATTTTGTTTTTTTATTTATTCTGGGTAGGTTGGTTCACCCTGACTTTGCCCAGGTGAAAAGTCTTCAGGGAAAGATATCGAAGATCAGGGTAGGCCCGATGTTCCCAGTCTGACCAGACTCTTTTTTTTGCTGAAACCGATGTGCAACCGGTGTACCCAATTCGATTGGGCTCAGGCTTGTTAGAAAATATGTGCAATACTGGTGCGAGACCAGTGTACCAGTTCGACTGGGTCACATATTTTCTTTATTTTTTATTTAACTGCACAAGACCGGTGTGAGACCAGTGTACCAGTTCGACTGGGTCGCAGTTTTTTTTAATATGTGCACGACTGGTGTGAGACCAGCGTACCAGGCCGGGCCTGTGTCACATACTTTTATCTTTTTTTTGAGTTCAATTCGATTGAAGTATGGTGTTCCACCCGGGTGGTTTTGTGATGCTCAATTCGATTGAACACTGACCGGGCAGATGGGTCTGTAATCTTCCCCGACCGGTCTTACCATCTTTTCTGAAAAAGTATGGCATCTCGCCCGGGCAGAGATGGATCTCCCCGAGTGGTTTCGACGCGAGTGAGAATGTTCCACCATCTTTTCTGAAAAAGTATGGTGTCCCGCCCGGGTGGTTTTGACCTGGGTGAGGATGCTTCACTATCTTTTTCTGAAAAGTATGTTGTCCCGCCCGGGCAGAGATGGATCTTCCCGGGTGGTTTCGACGCGTCAGATTCATTTGACTTTCTACCCGAGTAGAAAATAAGCAATGTTTTTCTCGTTTAACTTGACCAAGCCGGATGCTCTCCTTTTTTGGTCGCGTCACTCGAGACCGTGTCGATACGGTTTATTAGTTTGACCAAGCCGGCTGGTTTTTTTTTTGCTGAAACCGATGTGTAACCAGTGTACCCAATTCGATTGGGCTCAGGCTTGTTGGATAATATGTGCAAGACCGGTGTGAAACCAGTGTACCAGTTCGACTTGTCACATATTTTCTCTGTTTTGTTTTGTTTTTTTGGAATGCTCAATTCGATTGAACATAGACCGGGCGGATGGGTCTGTAACCTATCCGACCGGTTTTGTGAGTAGTCTTTTCAGAAAAATATCAACTTTATATAACATTTGCACGGTACATATCCGGTCTTAACGGATGATAAAACGGTTGTTCAACACCACTTTCTTCTTTTCCTCCCGACGAACTCTCTTTAAGAGCCTCTCCAAACGTGCTTCCGCTCTGTCCACCTGGTCGTTGGGTGGTTCAGTATGCGTGTGTGTCACCAGTTTGGGTTGGCTTTCCGCCTGGTCCTCCGCTCTAGGCACCCTGCTGTGTTGCGGCTCATCATGGAGGCGAGGGTCAAAGCGCCCGATCTGACCGGGTCGCCTACCACCTTCTAGCCTGTAGAGTTTGCCTGGCTTGGGAACCTTCACCCCCAACCGCTCATTGGCCGGTCGGTTCTGGTTCCGCCCCTCATGTCCCAGCCTCTGGAACACTGACCGTCGTGAACCTTCCGGCTGGACGACTTTGCCCTGCAGCTTTTTCTGGCCCCTGGGAATATCCCAGTCTTCATACCTGCTGCGCACTGAGCGCACGCCCCCGTCGGGTGTGACCTGAGTGTGGCGCTTGTGGGATCTGCTCCTCCTAGACTGAGAAGGGCCTGCCCTGTCCAGCTCCGTGGCCAGATTTGTCGGGATGACCGGCTGGGTGGTACTGACCGGTTGGTTCGGCGGGGGATGCCCCAGCGGGTTGGGAGATGTATTTTGGGCCAGAGCATGGGGGTACATCCCAGGGATGAAAAAAGTAAATCCCCCGGGTTGTTGGAACATGGGCATAAATTGTCCAAAGTTTTGGAGGGCTTGACCCGGCGCTGTTTGAGTAGTGAAGGTGGTGATCATGGGGGAGAAAAGAGAAGGTAATGATGTGATTCCTCCCGGGATTAGGGTAACACCCTCCGCCGGGGTGGAAATTTGGGAAATGATGGATTCCATATTGTTGTTCATCATGGCTTCTTTTTGTAAAGAGGTCCCACGGATGGCGCCAATTTGATGGTGTAAATTACCGTGCAAATACTAAGTCTAAGTGATCGGAAGGGTTGTAGGTGGAAATACATGTAACCCGGTTTGTTATTAATGATAATAGAAGTATTACAAAGTACAGGCCGTGTAGGTTAAATAAAGCCTGCCTCACAAATGAGGCTTTTAGGGGTATTTATAATAAAGAACAAGCACGTCAAGCACGTCCCGACGTTACTATTCTTCCGGCCGGTCAGTCTTCAAGTCATCCATCCGGGCAGTCTTCAAATCATCCACCTGGGCAGTCTTCAAGCCATCCACCCCGGGCAGTCTTCAAGCCATCCACCCCGGGCAGTCTTCAAGTCATCCACCCGGGCAGTCTTCAAGCCATCTACCCGGGCAGTCTTCAAGTCATCCACCCGGGCAGTCTTCCGGGGTTGGTGACGTCAGGTTCAAGCCAGAATTCGGTACCCCCAGGCGTATGTGAACTTACCGGGTGGTACGAGTGGATTATAACCATCACGGATTATAATGTAGATTATCAAATTATAGATGTTACAAAAAATAAAACCTAAATAGGAGTAAAATATAAAGAATGTGTCAAAATAAATGTTTCATATTTTTATTTTCTAAATAAGAGTTCGCACTGTGGTAATGTTGCATTGTACATGAATATTTTACTATATATTTGGTAATGTATATGGTCATGGTTGGCACGTACTGTAAATATATTTTAATTCCTATTTCGTAAATAAGAACATATAATTCATATTCTGGTATGTTTTCAATATTTTACTCTTAATTTAGTTTTTCTCCCTGCAAAAAAATGCTACATTTGTCCTTGATCTTATCTTAGGATCTTATCTTAGGAATATAATCATAATATTCTACAAAGCATACATCAAATTACATTTTACACATCAATTCAATATTCTCTTCGCTTCCTCGAATTGATTCTCAAATTTCTTTGGCTATATTATGTTGCACAATATTCATTTCCGCCTTATGTTCGGGCCTGAACATGCTTGTATCACTTCTTGATTTGATGCTAACCGCACTTGATATTGTGATACCCAACTCATGAATGCGAATAAAATTCTGAAGCGCGCAAATCTCGATACCATAATAGTCAACAGATAACCAATTTCCATTGACGGCATATTTTTTTAATATATTCCATCGAGTTTTTAACACTCCAAAACATGACCATGCTACACTTACACCAACAAATATACCTCATTTGTACACCACAAGTATGCACAAACATTTCGATGGTTTACACCGACACAAGTGTTGGTGCGTTAATAAAAATTTATACGGACACAAATGTTGGTGCGTTTAACAAAAATTAGTTTTACACCGACACAAATTGTTGGTGCAAAACTGCGGGGTACAAATTGGGGTACAAATCTTGGGGTACACATAGCATAATCCAAACATGTTTCAATTGTCGTACGCAATGATGAGTGTGTGTAATTAAATGTTCAAGCATCCCTTTAGGTGGAGGGCTTCCCCGAATATATGGCATGTGATATCTAACATCTTCATGTCTTACTGGACTAAGGTATCTGAAAGTGTTTGGATATTCAGAATTTACCAAATAGTATTTTCTTGAATTTATAATATAAAATTGGATCGATGTAAAGTTATCAACTATAATCACCCTCAAATTATATAATATGGAATAGTTACATGATTCCAATAACATCCTCATGTCTTATTGGACTAAGGTATTCATGTTTTCTTCAGTTGATCTAGTGATTCTGATCTAATTAAATAAGTTCTGATCTGATCTGGTCTAATCATATCTGATCTAAATGTAGTTATATTTAAACTATTTTTTTTATCTAAATTGATTATAATAAGAAAAAGTTATAAGTAATAAGAATAAGTTAAAGAGACCATTGCCTTACTACTCCCTTTGGTCCTAAAAATCTTTCCTATTTTATTTGACTTTTTTTGTCAAACAGTGACACTTTTTTTACCATAAATTAAACATAGTCTAATTAAGTAAATGATATAAAAATTTGATGCATCAAAACTATATCCTTAGATTAACTCAATTATATTGATTTTATATTATAATTATATATATATACTCATAATTTATGGTCAACGAATGTCACTGTTTGACCAAAAAAAGTCAAAACATTATAGGTTTTCAGGACATGAAGGATTAGAAAAAAGCAAACTTTAGGCGTGGTTGTTTCGAGCTTATTTTTAGTTCTCCCTTCGTCGGTTCATCCACAAATATTTCTTTTACTTATAAATGGATCAAAACTAATTATAAGTAGTTTTTAATTAACAAGTCAGTTGATGACGTAATTTTTTGTGCTTATAACCTGGTTTATAAGCTGTTTATATGCCATAAAAATTTGTAGGTCTTACCGACTTCTTAAGCTAACTTTTTATTTTTTCGTTTTGATCACATTACTTATAAAATTATCCTTCACCATTTATGAATATGTATTCCCAAACGACTTATTTATCCTTTAATTCATTTTACTTCCACAAAAGAACATTTTACTTATAAACAACTTATAAGTTAAAATTTATTTATTAGTAATGAGCACCGGTATATATAGAGGAACACTCACTATAACAGAAATTACTTTTTTAATCAGTTGTTTTTTACCTTTTAAATCGGTTGTTATTTGTTAATCAATGCTAAAGGTAGTGATGCAATTGGTGCAAATATTTTTTGCATCGGTTGTTTAACCGATTCAAAAAGTGCCTCCCAGAACTGGTACTTCTTTTTAAGCGGTTGTTATAAATAACCGATTTACATCGCTTTTTTCGTGTAAAAATTAGTCCTAGATTGGAAACTTGAAGTTTGTAGTCCTCTTTAGGTATATTATACTCCCTCCCTCCGTCCACCTAAGATCTTCTCATTGCGCGTTACGAGGCTTGACTGATTTTATTTTCAATTCAATTTAATTGATTATAGAAGTAAAATTATAAAATAAAATTTATATAGCAATAAACTACATGAAAAGAAGTGACAAGACTATATTATTTTGCGAAATTACTAGTAAAAATAAGCAAACAAAGTGAGTGAAGTTTGACCCCTGTGAATAGTGTTCGAGAAGATCTATGGTGAACATAGGGAGTATATGTTTAAGTTCTGTATTTCTTACATAGGAGTAAACATAGAGAAAGTTCCAAAATAAGAACTCCATGTTTTTATCCCTAAAATAGAATTTTTCACTATGGTAATGTAACACTGTAAATGAATATTTTACAATACATTTTGGTAATGTACATGGTCATGATTGACACTTTAAATGCGTTTTAACTCATATTTCGAGATTAAAAATATGGAACTCCCATCACTACAAAAAAAACGTGGCATTGGCACGGCCGTTGGCACGGACTGTAGTATTAAATTTCCGTGACTTTCGGTCGGTTTTGGCACAGACTTTTGGCACGGACGGTGGAGCTGCCAATTACGGGGCTCCAAAAACTTTGGCACGGATTCATGTGCCAACCTAACGCCACTAACAATTTAACGTTTAAGTTATTGGCATGCCCCAACCCGTGACAACCGTTCGTGCCTAGTTTAGCACGGATTGTTGTCACGATAACTTCCATGCCATACATTTTTTGAAATTTGAAAATTGAAAAAGGCGCCAATACTTGAAATTCGAATATTAAAAATTTCAAACTTTAATTTTGGCAAGGCCTATATCCGTGCCATTAGTTTGACTGCTAAAGTAGTGGAAATTTTTATGAATATTTTAATTGCCCGTTATTTAACTTAATTTGGCACGATAATATATCCGTGCCTAATCTTATAAAAAAAGAAAAAAAAAATTCTCTCCATCAAAAAATTGTGTTTGAGCATATGCAAAAGTAATAAATTCTTCTACGCCATCAAGGAATTCACGTGTCAAACCGCGTTTAATCAAAGCATTTTTGTTGTACATCCAACTTCTTGTTGATATTGACATAGTACCTGAAACAAAAATGCTAAAAATTGCGGGTTACGGAGTAAAATTTTCTACTTTTTGAAATCATTTTATTTACAAATTGGTATATCAATAAGATATAAAAATTACATATTAAAAAACTACGTTAAAAGTTCAACAAAACAAGAGGTGACAAGAATATTTTATTTTATCAATTACTTAATGAAATCGCATAAACAAAAAAAAGTTATCGAGAGGAGAGAAAAAATTGTAATCTATTTAGGGACGGAGGAATTATATACCAATCAATAGTAAAATAATTTTGGAACAGGGAATGAGTCGAATGACTAATTCATCCGAACTCTAATTTCAAAATGTTGGGATGTCAAGTAGGCACGACTTTAGGCACCGCGTAGTTGTGTGCCAAAACCTAATGAGTCAAAATCATCTGTCACAATGTCACTTCATGTCACCCACTCCACATTTGGCACGAGCATTGGCATGGAACAGGCGTGCCTACAACCATTTTTTTAAATGCCACTCAACTATTTTTATTATTGAAAAAATAGTCCGGAAAAATTGATTTCTTATTCTTACCATAAATTATGGAAACAATATATTACTCTTCTGTTCAAAAATTGATTTCTTATTTTTAACATAAATTATGGAAACAATTTATTACATTAGCATATAAACTTCATTTCAATATACTTATTTTGAAATATACATTTGATATATTATATTCTATAATCTACTATATACTCCCTCCGTCCCCCAGTTTTTGTCCACTTTTGACTTTTGAAACTACTCATCTAAGCACTTTGACTCATCAAATTCTCTCAATGTGTAAGCCTAAATATAGTCATGTGTGATCTTGTTTGATTTGTCTTAACATATAAATTATTAATATATAACTTCTATAATTTTTTAATATAAAAATTACAAGATAAAATGGATTAAAGAAGTGCATTAGATGATATGTAAAAATGAAAGTGGACAAATACTCTGGGACGGAGGGAGTATATCTATACATAAATAGAGAAACATTAACGATTAAAGTGTTGCATTGAAATAATTAAAAAGTCAAATGGATATAATCTAAACAAATGCATATTTAAATTAATAAATAAGATGACCGATCAAACTATACTAGACCGGGTCTAGGATAGTTTGCTTGATTTGGTAAAGTA